CTTGTGGCCATCTGTATGTCTTCTTTGGAGAAATGTCTGTTCGTGTCTTCTGCCCATTTTTTAATCAGATTATTTGGGTTTTGTTGGTGTTGAGTTGTAGAAGTTCTTTATATATTTTGGATACTAACCCTTTATTGGATAGGTCATTTGCAAATATCATTTCCCATTCAGTAGGTTGTCTTTTAGTTTTGTTGATTGTTTCCTTTCCTGTGCAGAAGCTTTTTATTTTGATATAGTCTCAGTAGTTTATTTTTGCTTTTATTTCCCTTGCCTCAGGAGGCATATCCAGAAAAACATAGCTACAACCAGTGTGAGAGAAATTACTGCCTGTGCTCTCTTCTAGGATTTTTATGGTTTCAGGTCTTTAATCCATTTTGAGTTTATTTTTGTGTATGGTGTAAGAAAGTGGTTCATTTTCATTCTTTTGCATCTTGCTGTACAGTTTTTCTGACACCATTTGTGGAAGAGACTGTCGTTTTCCTATTGCATATTCTTTCCAGCTTTGTCAAAGGTTAATTGACCATATGAGTGTGGGTTTATTTCTGGGCTCTCTATTCTGTTCCTTTGGTCTGTATGTTTATTTTTATGCCAGAGCCATACTGTTTTGATTACTACGGCTTTGCAGTATAAATTGAAATCTGGGATTGTGGCACATAGTTTTGTTTTCTTTTTCAAGATTGCTTTGGTTGTTTGGGGCCTTTTGTGGTTTCATACAAATTTTAGGATTGTGTGAAAAACGTTGTTGGTATTTTCACAGAGATTGTGTAAAATCTGTAGATGGCTTTGGGTAGTACAGACATTTTAACAATGTTTGTTTTCCCAATCTGTGAGCATAGGATGTCCTTCCATTTGTTTCTGTCTTCAATTTCTTTCATCAGTGTTTTATAGCTTTCAGGGTTTATAGTTTTTGGTGCAGATGCAAATGGGATTGTTTTCTTATTTGCTCTGTTAGCTCCTTCATTATTAGTGTATAGAAATGCAACAGACTTCTTTAAATTGATTTTGTATCCTGTGACCTTGCTGAACTCAGTTACCAGTAAGATTTTGGGGGGAGTATTAAGGGTTTTCTATATACAGTATCATGTCATCTGCAAATAGTGAATGTTTTACTTCTTCCATACTGATTTGGATGCCTTTTATTCCTTTTTCTTTTCTGATTGCTGCAGATAGGACTTCCAGTACTATGTCGAATAAAAATGGTGAGAGTGGACATCCTTGTCTTGTTCCTGATCTTAGGGGAAAAGCTGTCAGTTTTGCACTGTGAATAAGATGTTAGCTTGGGACGCCTGGGTGGCTCAGTCAGTTAAGTGTCCGACTTTGGCTCAGGTCGTGATCTCATGGTTTGTGAGTTTGAGCCCTGTGTCAGGCTGTGTGCTGACAGCAGGCCTAGAGCCTGCTTCTGATTCCCCCTCTCTCTGCCCCAACCCCACTTGTGCTCTGTTTTTCTCTCTCAAAAATAAACATTAAAAAAATATATATATTAGCTGTAGGTTTTTCATATATGGCCTTTATAATATTGAGGTGTATTTCCTCTAAATCTACTTTGTTGAGAGTTGTCATGAATGAATGTTGTACTTTGCCAGATGCTTTTTTCTGCATCTGTTGATGATCATATGGTTTTTATCTTTTCTCCTACTGATGTGAGGTATCACATTGATTGATTTGCAAATATTGAGCCACCCTTACATCTCAGGAATAAATCCCACTTGATCCTGGTGAGTGATTTTTTAAATGTATTGTTGGATTCAGTTTACTAATACTTTGTTGAGCATTTTTGCATCTGTGTTCATCAGAGGTATTGGCCTGTAGTTCCCTTTTTTTGGGTAGTGTCTTTATCTGGTTTTGATATCAGGGTGATGCTGGCCTCACAGAATGAATTTGGAAGCTTTCTTTCCTTTTCCATTTTTTGTAATAGTTTGAGAAGAATAGGTATTAACTCTTCTTTAAATGTTTGGTAAAATTTACCCATGAAGCTGTATGGTCCTGCACTTTTGTTTATTGGGAGTTTTTTGATTAGTGATTCCATTTCATTACTGGTAGTCAGTCTGTTCAAATTTTCTATTTCTTCCTTGTAGGTTATAGATGACTAGGAATTTCTCTATTTCTTCTAGGTTGTCCAGTTTGTTGCCATATAATTTTTCATAATACTGTCTTATTTGTATTTCTGTGGTATTGGTTGTTATTTCTTCTCTTTTCTGATTTTATTTGAGTATTTTTCTTTAAGTTTATTTATTTTTTTTTTTAATTTTTTTTTTTTTCAACGTTTAGTTATTTTGGGACAGAGAGAGACAGAGCATGAACGGGGGAGGGGCAGAGAGAGAGGGAGACACAGAATCGGAAACAGGCTCCAGGCTCTGAGCCATCAGCCCAGAGCCCGACGCGGGGCTCGAACTCACGGACCGCGAGATCGTGACCTGGCTGAAGTCGGACGCTTAACCGACTGCGCCACCCAGGCGCCCCTAAGTTTATTAATTTCAAGAGAGCACGCAGGTGGGGAAGGGGCAGAGAGAGAGGTGGTGGGGAGAGAGGGAATCCCACGTAGACTCTGCAACACCAGCACAGAGCCCAGTGCGTGGCTCAAACCCATGAACTACGAGATCATGACCTGAGTTGAAGGCAGACACTTAACTGACTGAGCCACCCAGGTGCCCCAGTGCTCTCTCTCTCTGTTTTTTGTTTTTTGTTTTTTTGTTTTTTTTTGATGAATCTGGCTGAAGTTTTATCAGTTCTTTTCAAAGAACCACCTCCTGGTTTCATTGATCTGTTCTATTGTTTGTTTTAGTTTCTATTTCATTTATTTGTGTTCTGATCTTTATTATATCTTTCCTTCTACTGGTTTTGGATTTTGTTCTTTTTCTAGCTCCTTGAGATGTAGTAACAAGTTGTTTATTTTTCTTGCTTCTTGAGTGAGGCCCGTATTGCTACAAACTTCCCTGTTAGAAGCACTTTTGCTACATTCTAAAGATTTTGAACTGTTGGTTTTCATTTGTCTCCATACGTTTTTTTGAATTCTTCCTTGATTTCTAGGTTGACCCATTCATTGTTTAGTAACATGCAACTTAATCTCCATTTGTCTCTACTCTTTTCAGATTGTTGCTTGAAGTTTGTTTCTAGTTTCATAGCATTGTAGTCAGAAGAGACGCATGGTATGACTTCAGTCTTTTTGGATTTGTTGAGACTTGTTTTGTGGCCTAATATTTGCTCTCTTCTGGAGAATATTCCATGTGCACTTGAGAAGAATGTGTATTCTGCTGTATTCTGAATACATCTGTTAGGCCTGTCTGGTCCAATGTTATCATTCAAAGCCACTGTTTCCTTGTTGATTTTCTGTTTGGATGATCTGTCCATTGAAGTAAGTGGGGCATTAAAGTCCCCTACTATTATTGTATTACTATTGATTAATTCTTTTATATTATTAACTTTTATGTATTTGGGTCTTCCCATGTTAAGTGCATGAATATTTACAATTGTTATATCTTCTTGTTGAATTGTCCCCTTTATGATTAATGTCCTTTTTAGTCTCTTATTACAATCTTTGTTTAATGTCCATTTTGTCTGATAGAAATATTGCTACCCTGACTTCCTTTCACATCCATTTGCATGATAAATGCTTCTCTGTTTCTTCACTTTGAATTTGCATGTGTCTTTAGATCTGAAATAAGTCTCTTGTAGGCAGCATATACATGGGTCTTGTTTTTTTATCCAGTCCATCACCCTGTATCTTTGGAGCCTTTAGTCCATTTACATTCAAAGTAATTATTTATAGGTATGTACTCATTGCTGTTTTGTTACTTATTTTATGGTTGTTTTTGTAGTTCTTTGTTCCATTCTTCCCTTGCTTTCTCACGGTTATTTGGCTTTCTTTAGTATTATATTTAGATTCCTTTCTCTTTATTTTTTGCCTACTACTGGTTTTTGATTTGGGGCTTGTGTATAACATCTTCTGCTATATGCTATATTAAGATGTATCTGACATCTTAACATATGTTATATTAAGTTTATGGTTGCTTGAGTTTGAACTCATTCTTTATACCTCTCCCCTCCACATTTAGGTAAATGGTTTCATACTTTACATCCTTTTATTTTGTGAGTCCCTTGACTGATTTTGACAGATACACATATTTTTACTGCTTTTGTGCTCTCTACTTTTCTTTTCCTTCTTTTTTAACTTTTTTTTTAGAGAGAATGAGCACATGAGCAAGGGAGAAGGACATAGGGAATGAGAATTGTAAGCAGGCTCCATGCTTAGTATGGAGCATGACATGGTGGGGCTCAATCCTACAACCGTGGCTTCATGATCTGAGCTGAAATCAAGAGTCCAATGCTCAACTAACTGAGCCACCCAGGTGCTTCTGTGCCCTCTACTTCTCTTATTCCTGCTTATGGTATTTCCTTTCCACTCAAGGAGTCCCATTAACATTTCTTGTATGGCTGGTTTAGTGGTAATGAATTCCTTTAACTTTTGTTTGGGAAACTCTTTATCTCTCCTTCTATGCTGAATGATAGCTTTGCTGGATAGAGTAATCTCGGCTGCAGCTGCAGGTTTTTTTTTTCCTTTCAGCACTTTGAATATCATGGCACTCCCTTCTGGCCTGCAAAGTTTCTGCTAAAAAAAATAGCTGATAGCCTTATGGGGTTGCCTTTGTATGTAACTGTTTTGTTTTCTCTTGGTGCTTTTAAAATTCTCTCTTCGTTACTGCTTCTTGCCATTTTAATTATTCTGTGTCTTGTTGCAGAATTCCTTGGGTCAGTTTTGTTGGGGGGGCACTCTGTGCGACCTCAACCTAGATTTGTTTCCTTCCCCATATTTGGGAAATTTTCAGCTATTACTTCTTCAAGTATATTTTCTGCCCCCTTTTCTTTCTCTTACCTTTCTGATATCCCGATAATGTGGATGTTACTATATTTGATGGTGTCACTGAATTCCCTAAACCTCTTTTCATTCTGTTTTTTTTTTTTTTCTCTCAACCTGCTCAGCTTGATTGCTTTCCATTAGTCTGTCCTCTAGGTTACTGATTTATTCTTCTGCTTCCTTTAGTCTATGATTTATTCTTATTTTTAATTTCATTTATTGAGGTCTTCATCTCTGAATGATTCTTTTTTATGTTTTCTGTCTCTTTGTTAAGGGTCTTACTGAGGTCTTCTACTCTTTTCTCAAGTCCAGTGAGTATTTTTATGATTTATTACTTTAAGTTCTCTATCAGCCATGTTACTTTTCTCCATTTCCCTTCGGTATCTTGCTGTGATTTTGTTCCTTCATTTGGGACATTTTCCTTTGTCCTCAGTGTGTCTAACTCTGTTTCTGTGTGTCAGGAAACTCAGCTATGTTTCCAGCTCTTGAAAGTAATGGCCTAATGAATAGGAGGTCCTGTAGTGCCCTGCAGTGCGGCATCCCCTGTTCACCACAACCTGGCACTTCAGGGGTGTCTCCTGTGTGTGTCGCGTGCACCCTGGTGTTATGGTTTGGCCTCTTTTCCTTCGGTTCATTTGTCTGCAGTAGCTCTCTTTGCCTGTTGCGGACAGGGTTTGGTCCCTGTGGTGTTCATGGGCCAGTCGGGGGCCACCTTGGGCTTGAGTTGAGTCAGAACAGGTGTCTGTCAGAGATACAGTAGCACCAACTGCAGGGTGCTTTCCCTGTGTTGCCCCTGAGAATCTTTTGGTGGGTGGGTGGGACCTGCAGTCAGACTCCTGCCTGCCCCCACCCCACTGCTGGAGTCGCATTCGGACTAGTGTGTGTGGTTATCTTTCCCTCACCCCAGGACAGGAGTCCCTTTGGAGTGGCACTGGCCCCTGTCACAGCTGCTTACACAGCTGAAGCTTGTGGTGCTGCTTTGGATGGGTTCCAGCCAAGAGCTTTGGAGGGAGCAGCTCTGCAGAAGCTTGCTCTAGCAGGAGGGGGGATGGCGTACTAATAGCGAGTTAGGTGGCCAGTGGTGTGCCAGGCTCGTTCTCACAGGTGGCCGTGTGTTTATTTTAGGTGATGGGGGGAGGGAAATTGTTCTACCAGTTCCTTTGTCCCTGGAGGAGTCCCCCAGCCATCTGTGTCCCTCCAGGACAGGCTCCGAGATGAGTGACATAACTCTCCCTTCTCTATGCCCCAATTTTCAAACTTCTGCTTCCATGCTGCATCTCTAAGGGCTCTTTGTTGTACTGTCTCTTTAAGGATGAGGGACTCCGTTTTCTCTTGCCCTCTCAGCTCTCCCAGAGCTTGAACCTGCTGATTTTTAATATTCCTGGTGTTAAGCTCTGCTAATTCTAAGAACTCATGAAATTTGGCCCCTTTGGTTTTCAAAGCCAAATGTTATGGGGATTTTTCTTTCCCATGTGGGATCCCCAGTGTAAGAGTTTGTTTCTTTTCCCTTCCCATAACCCTGGCATCCCTCCCTCCAATGGACAGTCCCGCAAGTCCATTTAGTTCCTGACTGTGTTTTCACGCTTCCTACCCTCTTTGAGGTGGGCTCTTCTCTACACTTCAGTGTGCGGTTTGTTCTGCCAGTCTTGGGGACATTTTCTGGGTCTTTTATACTGATGTGAATGTTATCTAGTTGTATCCGTGGGACAACATGAGCTTCGAATCTTCCTATTCTACAGTCCTCCCCAGAACATCTCCAGGAACCATTGTAGACCCTGGACAGGGTCATATGTGTCATTTATGTGTCATTGTCCTTTGGCTTTCCATAAGTAGAAGTCATCTCTGTTCCAAGTGTTACATACTAAATGCTTTTTGTTGGAATCACATCTTATTGCCATTAATTTATATTCTAATAAATAGAGATAATAAATCTTGAGTATTCCCCTTAAGCTTTTTAATTTCTTTTAAATAGTAGATTTTTGCAAATATCTTCTCCCATTCAATAGGTTGCCTTCTCATTCTGTTCATGGTCTCCTTTGCTGTGCAAAAGCTTTTTATTTTGATGTAGTCCCAATAGTTTATTTTTGCTTTTGTCTCCCTTGCCTCAGGAGAGATATCTAAAAACAATGTTGCCAAGGCTGATGTCAAAGAGATTACTGCTAATGTTTTCTTCTAGAAGTTCTATGGTTTGAGGCCTCACATTGAGGTCTTTAGTCATCCATTTTGAGTTTATTTTTGTGTATGGTGTAAGAAAGTGGTCCAGTTTCATCCTTTTGCATGTAGCTGTCCAGGCTTCCCAGCATCATTTGTTGAAGAGACGGTCTTTTTCCCATTGCATATTCTTGCCTCTTTTGTCAAAGATAAATTGACTGTATAAGTGTGGATTTATTTCTGGGCTCTCTGTTCTGTTTAATTCATCTATGTTTTTCTGCCCATACCATAGTGTTTTGATTATTAAAGCTTTATAGCATATCTTTAAATCTGGAATTGTGATCTAGCTTTGTTCTTCTCAAGATTGCTTTGTTCAGGTTCTTTTGTGGCTCTGTATCAGTATTAAGGTTATTTGTTCTCATTCTGTGAAAAATGCTGTTGGTATTTTGGTAGGGTTTTCATGAAATCTGTAGGTTGCTTTGTGTAGTATGGGTATTATAACAATATTTGTTCTTCCAGTTCATGAGCATGGGATATCTTTCCATTCGTTTGTGTCGTCTTCAGTTTCTTTCATCAGTGTTTTATGATTTTCAGGTTACAAGTCTTTCACCTGCTTGGTTAAGTTTATTCCTAAATATTTTGTTCTTTTTGGTGCAGTTGTAAGTGGGATTCTTTTAATTTCTCTTTCTGTTAAATCATTATCAGTGGATAGAAACCCAGCCAATTTCTATGTGTTAGTTTTGTATCCTGCAAGTTTACTGAATCAGTTTATTAATTCTAACAGTTTTTTGGTGGAGAATTTAGGGTCTTCTATATATAACATCATGTCATCTGCAAATAGTGACCGTTTTATTCTTCCTTCCTGATTTGGATGCCTTTTATTTCTTTTTCTTGTCTGATTACTACAGCTAGGTCTTCCAGTACTGTGTTGAATAAAAGCGGTGAGACTGGACATCCTTGTCTTCTTCATGATGGTAGAGGAAAAGCTCTTAGTTTTTCACCATTGAGTATGATGCTAGCCATGGGTTTTTCATGTGTCACCTTAGTATGTTGAGGTGCGATCCCTCTGAACCTACTTTGTTGAGAGGTTTTATTATAAACAGATGTTGCATTTTGTCAGATGCTTTTTCTGCATCTGTTGAGATGATCATATGGTTTTTGATCCCTTTGTCTTGTTAATGTGATGTATCACATTGATTTGTGAGTAATGACCCACTCTTGTATCTTTGGAATAAATCTCACTTGATTGTAGTGCATTTTTAAATGTATTGTTGAAATTGGTTTACTTATATATATATTTTTTTTTCAGGATTTTTGCATCTATGTTCATCAGAGATATTGGCCTGTAGTTTTCCTTTTTTGTAGTGTTTTTTCTCTGGTTTTGGCATCAGGGTAATACTGGTTTTGTATCATGAATTTACAAGTTTTCCTTCCTCTTCTATTTTTTGGAGTAGTTTGAGAAGAATAGATATCATGTTCTTGACATTCTTTTTTAATATTTATTTTTAAGAGAGACACAGAGTGTCTCTGATGGGGGAGTGGCAGTGAGGAAGAGGGGGAGACACAGAATCTGAAGCAGGCTCCAGGCTCTGAACTGTCAGCACAGAGCCCAACGTGGGGCTTGAACTCATGAACCACCAGATTATGACCTGAGCCGAAGTCGGACGCTGAATTGACTGAGCCACCCAGGCACCCCATGTTCTTGACATTTTTAAGAAAAAAGTCTGGAATGTTATCTTTAAAAGTACCTTTCTTTAAGTTTTGAAATAACTTTTTTAGCAACCTCTCTGTTCTTACTGTTTACGGATTTTCATTTGTATTTCCTACACATGTACTTAAATAAATGAAATTTTATTTTGATAATCTTTACTGGTAATTAATGTTAAATTATATATAGGCATACAAACTTTGTAACATTTAACATCACACTGAAAGACAAAGAATTTAAATTGTCTTAGAGTACCATTCAGTTAGCAGGATTAGCAACATCATTATTATATGAGTGTATGCTAATATGGTATGAAAGAAAGATCCTCATTAAAATCTTGTTGCCAAACAAGTGACAAAAACCTCACAAACAGCTTGAGGCTTTAGGCCAGTCACAGTTATTCCTGAAGAGATTTGGACAAGTGTGAAAATATATAGACTGTGTCTTTATTGTGGTCAGAACACATAAATGGTATCTTGCATCAATTCCTTACTAACATTTTTATTCATATTAGGGAAAATGCATCTGAAAACAATACAGTGTCTAAGTATTCTGTTTTGAATCTATCAAATGTAAAAGTATTGGGTCTGTTATAACCCAGAAAGTGGGCTTTTTTTTTTTTTTTTAATTTTTTTTTCAACATTTATTTATTTTTGGGACAGAGAGAGTCAAACATGAAACGGGGGGAGGAGGGGCAGAGAGGGAGACACAGAATTGGAAACAGGCTCCAGGCTCTGGAGCCATCAGCCCAGAGCCCAACGCGGGGCTCGAACTCACGGAGCGCGAGATCGTGACCTGGCTGAAGTCGGATGAACCTTAACCAGGCCTGTAAAGTGACCCAGTAGGCTTTTTAATAGCCATTGTGTTTGTGTTTTCCAGAAAAGGAGGGTTTTGATCAGCTTGCATATTTTCATTAGGCAAATTCAGGATGCTAATGATCTTTCTTCTAGACATTATCTAGAAGCATGAACTGGTCTGGTCTAGTGCCTTTATATCAAGGTTGGGTGATGGAGAGGAATAAGCTCATGGTTCTTCACCATGGAGCATGGCAATTCCCTTCAAGAATCCCTTACCCAGATTTAGTCACTTCTGGGTTAACTTTATGTACATACATTCCCTTTGAGGATTTCCCAGGTCTTAGTTCTTATCTGGAATCATAACTGTTACTTATAGAAAGGTAGATCTTAGTATCATAATGTGAGTAGAGAATTTACATGTAGGGATGCTAATGACATTCCAGAGTGGAAGTTAATGGACTTTTTGATAGCCATGTAGCCACCCCTCAGGTTCACCACTAATAATGAGCTGATTGTGAGTCTGATTTGCCTTTTGAGTTGTAGGGAGTCTTTAGTCAGAGAGCACAAAGGAAATTCCCTTGGTCTGATGTGGCTTATGAGCTCAGCTCATGTGCACAGAGAGGAACAAGAATATTTGTAGTTGAAATAAACAAGATACCTGGCTGGGTTCAGGAGCCAGAAGGCCACTGGTGGGATTGCCAAGGGTGGAGAACAAGCAGCTAAAGGAAGCTAATCCTGTGTGTCTTTGATGTGGAGTGTCACTGCGTGTCACCCACAGTTTCATGGGATCGCACACATGAAACTATTTGAATTAAAGTCATTTCCTGCATCTGTTGTCATTGTTCCTATCCTGCCAATAACCTTCAGAGCGTGCTGTGACGCTGCATGTAGATACAAATGTCTGTGCTCTGGGACTCTTATCCCAGCACAGCCCCTCTCGTGAGTTTTTTATACATTTCATAAATCTCAGTTATTTCCAGTTTGCTTGCGGCTTGAAAATATTTTATTACATATTATGTGTCTTCATGGAGACCCCTGAATTACCTGCTTGCTTTGAGATCATTATAAATTCTATTCTTTAGGCACTAGGAGGGTAAGGCATAGCTCAAGAAAAGAGAGCATTCTTGTTAACTTTGCATTAAAGGGGTTATAAAAGATACTCAGAAAACACTGTTTTACCTACAGCTTCTTTGTGAGGATGATCTCGTATTTAAGTCTGACATGGTTGGTTACTTGCAGCAGGTTGGAAATGGCAGAGCTGAAACTAGAGCAGCCGGTGGACAGGAGGAAGGACCAGGATAGTCAGGAGTAGCTGCGGCATGGCACGTGGTCCTGTGGCAGGAGTGAGGTCGGACCGAGTCCGACCCAAAGCAAACCGGATTATGGCACCAGGCTCTTCTGGGTTGGCAGTGCTGAGAAGGCAGGATACCAAGGGACCAGTACAATCTAAAAGGCAAACTACTAGAATGGAAATTTGACAGAAAGCCGTTTGAATTTTCAGGGGCGTCTAAGAGTTGCCTTGGGAATGGAGTGGGAGTTCTGTCATCAGAAGTCAAGGCACGGTGGCAACTTTGTCTTAAAGGGGGTGCCTTGACGCCATCGAAGACACGCGAAACTAGACGCCAGATGCCCGTGTCTGGAAACGGCTTCCCTTTTACCCTCCTTACTCATTTCTTGTGAAAGATCCCCTATTTCTGTTAGAAATCTCCCTTATTCTCTATGTCCCTTCTCTCTCCATGACGCCTCCTCAGAGGTCCTCTCTCCCCCCTTTCAGAGTTCCTTCTTTATTCCTGCAGAGTTAACGGCACTCGTCCGGTTCTGCCTTTTATTCATGTGTGTGTCTTTTGTGGAGGGTGTGCCGTGTGCCAGGCACAATCTAGGTAACGGATGTTAAGTGGATGAATATTTTAGAGCTGTTGAAAATTGTGTTGATGTAACTGCAGGCTGTTTTGTTCTTTCCACATTTTTTCAGATTTTACCAAATGTTGCAAGGACTCTGGAATCCTTATGGTAGTAAAATGCCGAAAAGAAAATTCTGCATTGAAAGAATGTCTAACTGCTCAGTAAGTCATCACCCCATTGTTTATGCTTCTCTGTGTGTGTATGTGTGTGACGTATGTAGTAGGTAAGAGTGTGTTATTTAACTCATTACATGTAATAGGTCCTTTACTAGCCCCATCACATCTTTGGTATTGTTAGCTGAGTCTGAGATTTCAGTTTGTTACATACTAAGCAACGTATTTAGGAAAGGTCTTGTCAAGTTATGTGTCAACATTGTATCTGATTAAAAATATGAGATCCGCGAACAAAAATACAGGATTTTTCACATGACTTACCAAATTCCTTTTCGTGAACAGTTGATCTATAGAATATATTACAGATGGGTTTATATTTGTCTCCTCTAATGAAAATGTACTGAATTAGATAATTTGTCGGCCTGGTGATTTGGGGGATTAATATAATTTAATTCCTAGGAAAGTTGCACTACATCAAATGAAGGATACAAAGGTAAATTTTGATTTTTGAGATTAATCGATTTAAAAATAAGTCTTAAATATGTTCACTGACATTTAGTTGAATATTAAAGGAAAACTTTGCAGGTTCTTTGCATGCAAGTGCTTTCTGCCGTATCTCCCCACACATTTCATTATCTACATTATTCACAGTATTGCAGAATACTTTCGTATTGTTCATTGATAGCTGTGAGGTCGTGGTTTTAGTTATCCCTTATATTTCCTTCTCTAACTGTGCTCCTCTAGCCTGTGAAACATATAGGTCCGCATGGTTTGATACTTCCTTATTAGGGAATTAGATAAAAAGTAGTGATTATCTGAATCAATTATTTTTTTTTTAATGTTTATTTATTTTGAGAGAGAGGAAGAATGTGGGGAGGGGAGGGGCACAGAGAATCCCAAGCAGGCTCTGCACCATCAGTTCAGAGCTCGATGTGGGGTTCGAACTCACGAAGTGCGAGGTCATGACCGGATGGGACGCTTAATGGACTGAGCCACCCAGGTGCCCCTGTTTTCATTGATAGCAAATAATGTACCCAGAAATTTAAAATTTATAAACTTAAAAAAAAAATTCTGTAGGTAGGAGACTTGGGAAGTTAAACTAACGTCTGCATTTATAGACGAGGAAACACACCCTTATTTATGGGCCAGGACCTGCACTAAGCACTTCATCATAGAGGGGTAAGAGTTCATTCTATGACTTACTTTTCTTCCAGTTTTGTTCCTCATGCTCCTAAGAGATGCGTGATGGATCGATGAACTGGTTAAACTTCTTTGTGACTGGATTTGTTGAATGCTTTTTTTATATATTAAAGAATTTTTACACCTCAGTTTGTCATAATAACTTGTTCTTAATTTGCCATATTATCCCTCTCTCCCAGATGGGCATCACTAGAGCAGAGGGGCAGGAGCGCGGGCTGTGGAGAGGGCAGTGGGGCTGACCTTCTGGACCAGCCAGAGCTAAGCTAGTGGTAAAGCCTTGGGCAGGTTCCTCATAGAAGACAGGAAATTATTCCTGGTGCAGTGATTGTGAGGAACTGTATGTAAATTCACTACAACAGTGCCTGGCATATAGTGGGGAGTCAATCAGTGGTAGCTCCTTTTTTTATTGTATTTGTTAGCTTTTGTTATCTGAATATTATTTAAATATCCTTCCTTTTACCCCCTGGAAATAGGAGAAAATAAGAGGTTCTAGTCTGTTCTGGGGAAGGGGCTGGGAGGGGTTGGAGGAGGCTGCATCTCTTTAGAAGAGAGAAAAGCAGTGAAGGAAACAAAAGAGGGTTATGACATTTGCTAAATGGAGTAAAGGATTTTACTTGACCTCAGTTTTCAACACACTGTGTTTCTTCATCTTTGAATAAGAAAGTGCTCTGCTTTATTTACTGTTGACATTCCACGAAATGAAGGTAACCAACCACCGCCCTCTCTCCTCTCGTTGTAGCGACATCTTGAAACCTAAGTGGTTGCTTTTATTTCTACCCGCGTCTTCATTCATTCTTCAGTAAACTGCTGTCTGACTTCTGCCCCCTTCCACTGAGACTGCTTCTCCTAAAGGTTCTAGTGGATTCATGGCAGCCAGATCCAGTGAACAGCGTTTCAGCCCTTTTTCTTTCACTTGACCTCCCTCTCCAGAAGCCCCTTAAGATTCTCTTCTACCTGGCTTCTCTTATGCTCTTTACTGTTCCCCCAACATCTCTTACTTCTCATCCTTATCTTCTTGAACTGAATCCTTTAGAAAGTGGGCTCCCGGTTCTCTTCTCATGCTTAGGTCTGCAAAAGCTGTTTGGACCCATGACTTTGGTTACTTCCTTAGGTCATGACATTTCTTTGCTACTTTCTTCAGGTCCAAAACTGAACTCACCTCCTTTTCCTTCTACATCGTGTGTCTAGAGTTTAGAATTTTCCTTGTCTCCTAACTCTAAATGGTTATTTCCTGTTGATTTTATTTCCTAAATCTCCCCCAGATCCATTTTGTCCTTTTCATCACAACTGCTCCTCCTTTAGCTTAGGGCCCTCCCTCATCATCCTTGGCTAGATTTGTTGAATAGTTTACTTACCTTACAGGCATCCTGCCTCTAACCTTGCTGCCCCCTTTTGGCCTGTCACATGCTGTCAGAGTGATCTAAGACACAAAACTGATCTTCAAGTTCTTCTGTTAATAGTGGCCCATTGCCTTCACGATAGACTTCAACTTCTTGGTATGGCATAAAATGACCTTCGTGATGCGGCCTTTGCCCAGTCTGGCTTCATCCCAGGCCCTTTCTCTTATGTGCATGATCTGCTGCAAGGACACTAATTTACTTGCAGTTCTTCGTGCATCAGGTTTTCCTCACCTTTGCGCTCTGGCACAGCACTTTGTATGCTTGTTGCACAGCCTTTACTCGTGTGCTCCGAACACCATGGCCTTCTGAGGATGGGTACTGTGCTTCTCATTGCTCTGTCCCGGGACGGTGCCTTTCAAAAATGAACTAGTTTGATAACCTAATGTTTACACTGTATTTATGACCATTTCTTAAAATCTATTCCTAAAGATTATACCTGATGAAATGTCTGAATATTATTTAAAGTAAGCTCACATTAAATGCTTGCGAAACCTCATTTTAAAAGGAGATATTCATTTCCTTCTTTTAGTTATAATGATCCAGCCTTTTATGAAGAATGCAAAATGGAATACCTGAAGGAAAGGGAAGAATTCAGAAAAACTGGAATTCCTACCAAGAAAAGGCTACAGAAGCTTCCCACAAGCATGTAGGCAAATATTCAGCGATACTCAAGAGCTCTGATATTCATGGAAATCATTATCACCTGAAATAATGGACTCAAGGAAGTGTTTGCTTTATCCTAAATGATGGAAATATTATCTGAAATAAAGATTTTTTTTTTTTAATTTCAAAGTTAAATTTATCAAATGGGATGGGAGGAGTAAATAATGAACTGGGATATGGTCTGCCTGGTCATTATGGATTTTTTTGTAAGTTTTTCCACTATTACAGTTATCTAACAGTGATAATCTAACAGTGATTTTTAGGGTTCTGTATAGACTTGATATTACTCCCTTCCAGTGGCTAATCACAGAGACCAGAAGTAACCAAAGGAAAGCAGGAGCTGTCAAAGGTGTTAATAACGAGGTGGTATAGCAGAATAGTTACGAACCAGAATCCTTCCTGGTTATGTCACTTACTAGTTATTCAACCAGGGAAGTAATTCTCATTGTGAGGGTTACTGAAGGTAAGTAGAGTATGCAGGACAGTGCCAGGGTTATTGTTAGTAGTAGTAGTAAAGGATTATTTGGAAACATAGATGAAGAAGTACTTATACATGAATTAATTTTACTTAATATTTGATGGAAAATTTCCTAAAATTGAATTATTATCCTTGACCTGTTTGGCTACTGAAAATAGTTTAATGATTTCAGGAGCTAGTCTAAAACAACTGTCTGAGTGCAGTAATTTGGTCCCAGGTTGAACTTTTATATTAAAAGTTGCTCTTTTTTTCTTCCATGAACTCCGTTTCACTGTAGCCACTGCAACCAGTTTCCAAGTAAGTAAAATTTATATATACTTACATAGTTCTCATTAAAATCACAAATAGAAAGTACTACCTACTAGGACAAGATTTAACTTTGGCCCCAGTCCCATGAAATAGAGCTGAGATTTTTTTTAAAGGACTTAGTTTTAAGCAGATAGGACCCTGAAGAACCAATGTTCAAATTCTATACTTTACTCAAGACAATCGCTCAAAGAACTATTTTACTCTTATTTGAAACCCAAAGAAACCACATTTTCCCAGGCCACAGATCAAAAGGAAGATTACTAGAACAGACCAAAGCAAAGCAAATATAGAAACCTAGAGATCACAAATCATAGGGGTAAACAAGCCTATATGCTTCTGTTGGTCTTTTGGTATTGTACATTTGCTAGAGCACAGGACCTTAATTCTTGGTTTTAAATGATGCAAATGAAGAAAAAGCAAATAGTTACTTTAGGAAGCTAGTGAAATATATAACCTGTGGCTAATTTATAATTTGGATGAGAATCAGAGAAACCACCTTCAATTTTATGTGGGAAATTCATTTATGTAGATGTCACTTTCCCCATAGGCGCTGGACAGTAGGTTATATAAATATGTTCCTCCCTGTCAGGAACTGTACCATTGATTACAGCTTTCAGAATATCCAGGCCTAGCCAGCACACTGGTCTACTTCGCCCACGAGTACAGCTGCCTCAGTTGTTCTGCTTGCTCATTCGTATCGCTGGCTGGTATTATTTTAAGAACGCACAGATGTTCTTCCCCTGAATATCCACCTTGACCCAAGTCCTTTCTGGATTAGATCATTACGGTTTTCCTACAATTCAGTCTTAGTTTTTGAAGTTTGAACTCTTCCCTACTTACTTGGTTTTCTCATTTTCCCCATAGGTATGTCCCTGCTCTATGTAGGAATTAGGTTCCATTTTGGCAGAACCTCAGTTTCCTATTAGAGAAGATACAAATTTTATTTTTGCTCATAGGAGATGAAGAGGAGGGAGTAAGTGTCTTTTTGTTGCTACCTGTCTTCATTCTATGTAAATGTAAACTGAGTTATCATAAAAATATGAAGATCAAGGAAATTTTCGAGGGAAGCCCTTTGGAGCAAGTTTCAAGTGGTATGAAAGAAGTCGACATAAAATTTTCCATCTTAAGTAGGTAATAAACTACAGATGGGCCCTTCTCATTTCTCTTTGAATCTTCCGTAGAACGGAGATGATCATAAAGTGTATGTTTTAAAATTTATGGCTGGGTAAATTTTTTGGTTCAAGTCTTACCCATCATTTATTTAGCACTTTAAACTGTAAAGAACATCAACCTCGGATTTCTGGCATACCTGTTTGACAGCTACCCTGTTGTTCAGATGGAAGAACATTTTTTCCACTCAAAAGAAGTTGGTTTAACAAGATAAATGCCTGTAACGTGAATCAAATTAACAACTGATAATTAGTACCTGACCCTGGAATATATAGGCAAGGACAATATTTCACGTTCACTTCAATTTCAAACAAAAATAATTTATTTTAATTAATTTCTTGGCATTATTCAAAACATTAATCAAGCCATTATCTCATACGACTTCTTTACAAAGGAAAGTTTCCAACCTTGGTTTTACAAAAGGCAAACCAGTAAGCTACATTAGAGATGAGATATAATATACAGCCTATGCAGCCACATGAGAAATAGTTTCTGCTGCTTTGTTATTACACAGGTAGTTGCTTCCTTTAGCTAAAGCCTGGAGTCTTGTATTTGTTTTATGCATATTGGGTTTTGTTCTATTACTTGGCAGGAGATTGTACTCCCTGGAGTCAGCTGTGTTCATTGGTCAGAATAAATTCCAGCATCTGACACCAATTCCATTAATCACAGACAAGCCTGAATAAGTGAGTAAGATAATAGAAAGACAAAAATATCTGTGACCAGTGAACACTGTTTATGTATGTATGCTATTCAGTTAATATAGAAGAGATCTGAGATATTCTTTTGAGTTCAAGATATTTGAAACTGTCTATCAAAAAGGATAAAGGTCTCCTACATGAAACAGTTTATCTGAGGCAAAAGATGTATATAAGCCAACTAATACATTATATTACAATGTTAATACCACCACCCTGAAAGAATTTAGACAGATTTCCATGTGAAGCCATCCTTGTTATTATATCTTTGTTGATAAATGATAGGCCACTTAGAATCAAAAAGTTTGGGGACATTCCGTGATCAGACTATATCAATACAGCACAGAATTTGGTTTACAGAACTAAAATTCTTAATGTGGTTAATCAAAAGTCACTCTTACATTTCAAAACAAAGTCTAACAATTTATAAGTCGCTGTACATAACAAGCAGGTATAGACCCTTTGAAGAAAATGACTTTATCCAGTTACATATTTAGCTTTTTATTATGGACCACTGAAGGCACAGATTAGACTGCAACCTGTGTGATGCTCTACTTCTAATTGGATAATGAGGTATTAAAATAGTTCACACACCACATAGGTTTTCAACTATTTCATCACTTTTTTCAGTTAGGATTTGAAGGATGTATGGGACAAAGTTGGTTTCAATGAGCAGGTTATTTCAAGTCTTGAAACCATTTTTTAACCACAATGTTACTGAGTCTTAAACTTTGAAACACAATAGCATATGCAGATGGAATAACCTATATTATTCAACTATAATTTTCATCTTTAAGGTCACTACAAATAGAACCTATTCACTTTGCCATTTGTCTTTTATGCAAATTAAAGCAACTTACAATTTTTCTCACATATTCATGGCCTCTTATTTTTATGAACAGATATTTAGACATTTCACATGCTATATAAAACCATGTCCTAAAAAATTTTAATTCCATCCTTTACATGAGAGGCAGTTATTTACAATTACTATCAAAGGTAGAATCGTTTCTTTGAAACACCTTAAGTTTATTAATTAGTAGCTTACATCTGATTCTTAGAACATGGAGCTGGAGGGTGCTCTTTCATACCGGAAAATTGATACATGATGTGGAGAACAGTATGTGCAAATGTATATACTGAAGAACTCTGCAAAAGTTTATTCAAAATCTGCTTTCAGTTAGGTAATTTCTTGAGAGCCACTGAAGGAGATAACAGTAACCTCATGACCAAATCCTGAAATCTCTTCAGAATTAATTCTTATAAAGGCAGTTTTGATTATGTTGATCCAAGTAATGCAGTGGTGGCAGGTTGGATAAAGGCAAAGTTTTATTTTTAGTTTCCCCAAATGCTGTCTCACTTGATTTAGGAGGGCTTGGGAATACCCAAGAATTATCTTCCAGAGAATTTCTGCCGTAAGAGTTGTGTTCCTGAAAGTTAGTACCATCATGAAGAATGGATCGCTCATTATCTGTCCATGATTGGAGAATTGCTTTCTCTGATAAAACCTTCATATCTCCTGATAAAGGGGAAGATGTGGTGTGGCAAAGAGTTTTGCCATTTGGTGACAGGGGGGAATGTCTTTTGTATGTTGCAGTAAAATTCGCCAAGTGCAGTTTTGTGCTGTCTTTCCCAAGGTCTTCCATGCATCCTATTGGGGCACAGGCTAAAAAGGAAGCACAGGCTAAAGGTCAGTTGTCAAGGCATTTGTGATCCTAATTTGGCTGAATCTAGAACTGGAAATAATATTTCCAATTAACATGATCACTGGGGCACTATGATTTGAGACAGATGACAAATGATCGAGTTCTAATCCTGGATCACTTATTTACTGACATTGTGACTTTAGGTTCAGCCACTTTTTGTGCTTCCAAGTGTCACTTCTCTCATCTGCAAAATGGACATGGTATTCTTGTCCTGCCTATATCATAGGACCATTAATAAAGGTGAAGAATTGTATTGTGACTAGAGAAAGCCTGCCTACTGTTTAAGTGTCCATGGAAACCAAGAAAGCTGTTCTTAAATATAATATTCCTTTGCTTATTCAAATCTTTTTTCCATAGGTGCTTCAAAATAAATTTCTTCTGCAATGATTATATTTTGAATTGGTGAGGCCCAAAGTAAGTTATTTAATATACATTCAAAGGCTCTTAAGGATAAAACAGTTTGAATAGAATTTATAAAATAATTCTGTTTCTTATAAACACACATTTCTGCTGTGGTCACAGTAATAAGTCAAGAGAAAAAATGAGTTTAGTACACACGTAATGGCTTAGAAAATAAACTGAAGCGATTATTTCGCTAGTCTTAGCCAACATAATGGTAGTCTAAGGTTTTCCTCCCCTTCCGATTCAACCTACTAGGGCAAAATGCTAAGAATTATAACTTGGGCTTGAATCTATCATTTTAGAAGAAACTGAACCATATTATAAAATGAGCTCATTGCCTTTTTTCTTGGGAAGAGGGGAAGGAGTGGAGAAGACCTAGAAGTAGCAGTGCTCAACTTCTGGACAAGGGTGATATGGAGGTCAGGAAAAAAGATGATCTAGTCTGTCTCTACTCACCAAAGCACGGAGTTCTGCAGTGAAGAGCCTGCCAGAGAACTTTCAGTTCGATACACCACAAGATTTATCCTTCACCAGCTCAGAAGGGACACAAGAATGAGCCATTTCCAAATGTGGAAAGAGCATTTTTCCTTTCTTATCCTTTGGAGACTATATTTGTTATATAAACAGCCTCACTGAAAACTCCCTGTAAAATTATTCTGTGTTCCTTTTAAGAGAAATTTTACCTCTACCAATCAACACACAGTTGCCTCATAGGTAACCCTGGCCATTGGAAAACTCCAGGGTAAAATGAACCAGAAATTAAGTTGGAGCCTGGCAGAGCACTATATTAATTTGCCTGATTCATAAATAACTCTCTAGAAACTAAAAGGGATTTTGACTTTAGTTTTCCTTTTTCCCTACTAGTTAACGCTCCTGAGGAGATTTATAAAATACATTTCTCTTGTGCCCTCTTTAGGGCCAGTCCAAGGTGCATATAACTTTAGGTGCTGGTGATTATTTTTTTTTACGAAAAGTCACATCTCAATTCCTTCAAAATAAACTTTTGGGTAAATTTACATTATACAGCTTTTCAGAAATAAAACTATTATGTAATAAAAGGCACACATGCACTGATTTTTCTCTGAGATATGCAAAGAGCTTTTGTAAAGTAGCCACTAACTACTAGGTTAGGCCCAAAACTCAAAAGTTTAGTCAGCCAAGCAGTTAATATGAAAAGCAAATCAATGAAAATTTTTTGTTTCATTGAAAGAGATAGTGGGATCACAGTTTCCATTCTAAACGGTCTATCCTTTGTGGGAAGAAAAATTAAGTTTACCAAATGAAAACAAATTATGCATCAAAGTTATTTTTTTCAAAACTAATTTAAAGGGCTAGGTCTTTGATATATTCTGTGGCACTGGAATGAAAAATAGCTTTTGATGTCTTGATGTCTTTTTTTTTAAATATAAGGAGGAGTTGTGGTAAAAGGTCAACTAGAGCAAACTTAACACCTCAGCCTTATACACATAAGCAACACTTGGCTGAGAAAAAAAGCCACAAGGGGAAAAGAATACAGTACAGAAGAAAAAACACATCAGCAACACCTTTATGTGTGAAGTTGACCAGTATGAGAATGAAGCCAAAGCAGAGAATAGGTAGGCTGTGAACATACTATATATACTCTGGCTTATCAAAATCATCTGATGAGATTTCGATAAGAAACGATAGCCAGTTGCTCTTCAAGCTGTTTGGCTGGAATCAGTGGTTTCCAGCAAACATTAACTTGCCTTTCTTGACTGTAGTTGGGGTTTTCAGTTTTCTTAGTAGTTCAGCTTGTACTTGAGTCACCAAATGTAAATTAGACATCTCTCTCTTCAGTTCCCAGTATGCATTTTGCATATTGTCGCTGAAATGCAAGTTAAAAAAAAAAAAAGTTAATGGTTATTTTCCTTACGGACAGAAAGGAGTGACTTTAAAATAGAAATGAGCATTCCTGCTCTAGTTTTGAGATGATATAAATTAAACAAAACTTCCTCATTAAATAATTGAAATACAATTAGGGCATTAGAACAAGTGAAAAGATCTTATTCAATAATAATATTGACCTAGTTTCTAGCCGTTAACTGAACTGTATTAAACAGAAGGGTATTTACCAAAAAAGAAGTATTATCACCAAGTTTCTTATAGTTCTCAGAATTGAGGTTTTTATTATAGCCCATAATGTGCAGTGGTGTTATTATCATACTTTTAGGGTAAGGAGTATTTTCTTCATTTGCAAATCTGATACAGAAAAATAGTGACATTTATTCATGTATAGAGTTTTAATTTGTATTTATCTCTTGATTATTCGGTTTTGACGTTGTGAATTGAAATGTGTATCCCCAAACCCACATTAAAATAAAATTTAGGTTTCATGCATTCCATTCTTTTATGTTTGACTGGGCTGTCTCATATTGTTGGTTCTAAACCAATGTGACATGACAGCACAAGACAGGAAGAGCCAGATGATTTCCTGGTAAGGGAAAAGAAGCTAGAGAGAGAGAGGATTATATGAACCAGAATTTAAAGACTTCACAAATGCCTCTCATTTTCATAATTAAAAGTATTTTATGTCAATTATCTGAGCAGTTACAAATTAGCTATTTTAAACCTAATCTGTAAAAGTTTCATTCTTCCATTAAACATTATGTGGATATTCATGATTTTCTTTCTTAGGTTTTTAATTGCCAACTAAACTGAAATCTTCAATACATATTCTTACTATGTTATACAAGAATATGTAAAATATTAAGTATAAGAACTGATCTCAAAGTATTCAAATGACCATTATTGCCTTTTAAAGATATTGGTGTAAGTTTAATAACAAGTACCAAATTAGAAAATGTTACTTTATGCTTCAATTTTTATCTAGCTGTAAACAAAAACCTTTAAACCAAGGGGTAATATCTTGGTATCTACATCTAACCTCCTATTCTAGTTACGAAGGAACAGATCTACTAAAAAACAATTATATGGAATGTAAGGTTACATACCTTTTTTGTCAAGATATTTCTTTCTATTCCACTCCAACCAACCACAATTCTTTCAACAGAAGCAGAATACACTTTATACTGCTTTTGGAAAAAATCTGCATGTTTTAATCTATTGTAAACGTGATTTGTCAAACAGCAGTCTATTAAAAATCACAGGCTTTTTGCAGGTTTTTGGTAAGTGTGAAATAATTACTTCACAAAAATTAGTTAACCACTTTACTTCACCAGTAAACATCTGAGATGTATGCTACAGTGAATGTTTCACATAGGAACCTGTCTTAAGTGTGAAGGGTTGTTGGTTCCTTGTTGCAGTTCTGGGCATTCAGTATGCTTTCCAAAGAGTTACTCACATTACATAGCAGTAAGTGTAAGTGCTACATGTGCTAATTCATGCAGACAGTCATGATATGAATATACAGTTTAAAAACAGTGTTTAATTATTGTCATGAGATGGTAAATCAGTACCTGACTTGGAGAAAAGCAAAGCAAATACCCAAGACTGTGTTTGGATCCTAGAATAACGTTCACATTTAATCATTCAAACTAGCTAAGCATGTAAAATAAAAGATAGATAATTATAACAAGTGTTAAAGCAGTGTCTAATATACATTTTCCAATTCAATGAAGACTGCTTATAAACTAGGTTAAACTAAAAACTAGGTTGCCAACTTTAACATACATCTAAGTCTTTTTGCCCTTAAAGTCATATGAATTAAAAACAGATTAAAAAGAAAAAAAAGTCTAAATTACTAAGTGTAAGCTCTCCCTCTTGTGGATAACAAAGCAATGACAGTCACTTTACAGTAAATATTAAAGTGCTATAGTCTTCAAAGTGTGTTAAAAATTTATTTTTAATTCTACTTGTACAGAATATTTAAATCATCACTTAAGTGAGACTGGAAGAGGCAAGTTGTCATCCACAAGTCTTTAACAGAGTTCCAACTAACCGTCATTTATCTAGATTATTTTTGAGATTATATAGTCAGACTTCACCTCCCACACCCCCAACCAGGAGTGTGAAGTTAGTTAAGTTTTGCTTTAAATGACATAGACACACACACACACACACACATTTTTTTTTCACGTATAAAGAAATTATAAAACTATTTGAACACTGAGGTACAACACTAAAGCATCCCAAATGAGAACCCTAAAAAAATAAAATAGGTGAAACAAAATAATGATGGTTGAGCATTTCTCCCATGTTATCACACCAACTTGGCAAACTGGGTAACCACATTTTCCATGTGAGGAAACAGGTTCAGGAGAACTTACTCTATACTCTAACATGTTGCTGATCAAAGTCATCTTTTTTTTTTTATTTTTATTTTTTTTAATTTTTTTTTTTCAACATTTATTTATTTTTGGGACAGAGAGAGACAGAGCATGAACGGGGGAGGGGCAGAGAGAGAGGGAGACACAGAATTGGAAACAGGCTCCAGGCTCTGAGCCATCAGCCCAGAGCCTGACGCGGGGCTCGAACTCACGGACCGCGAGATCGTGACCTGGCTGAAGTCGGACGCTTAACCGACTGCGCCACCCAGGCGCCCTTCAAAGTCATCTTTTAATCATCTAGTCTAATGACTGCTGCCATTTTGAGTAACATTTTTTAATATCATAATCACCATCATCTTCATTAGACATTTACCAAGCACCTCCAATATACTCACTACCAACACAATCTTCTTAGCCCCAGTATAAAATCTCAACCCTCTAAATTTTAAATGTAAGTAAACCTGCTTAGCCACATTGCAAGGAGATACATGCCCTGCTTACAAACTGTGTAAAAGCCCAGTTTTCTTAGTTGACAATATACATTCAACTCTTCAATACAAAAGGAATATTCCTCGTATAAGAAAAATCAACTTTTTTACTTCACCCATACATATTTTTCTTTAGCTTCTGAAAATTTACTTTTATATCACCCAGAAGAACTAAAATCAAAGTATGAGCATCTTACCCAAGAGCTAAAGACTTAGAAATTTACATTTTGACAACTGTGATTCCCCAAAATCAACTGTCTTTCAGACATTTTTGATTGTGAAGCACAGCAAGGAATCAATTTACTCTGCAACCCAAACAACCAAGTTATAACAAACCATACTTATTGCCCTTATTATGTGTAACACACTCTGGTATGTTCTGTTCTGTTTTATTCAGTGTTTGTATAAATACTTAACTCACAAAATTTCACAATTACTAAGGGAACACGGCACAATTTGAAAAACATTAATCTATATTTTCTATATTTTCAATTTCTTAAGAACTTCACAATTCAAGTTTACCCCATACCTAGATCTGTTTAAGAACTGAGTGCAACAACCTAAAGCTAACACCAGATGAACACTGGTAAGAAACTGGCCAAATTTCTGATAGGACTGTAATTATTAAAAGATGCTGTATACAGTAAAGGCCTCCAGTAATTATGTTAGGGAAATAGTACAGTACCTCCTTTGCCTAGCAGTATGATGGAGGAAATATGAAAAAAGAGTGTTCCCACAAAGGGGGCTTTATAAATAACTGAAAATCATCCCTAAAAATATGTAAAATTGTACTTAAAGGTTTTATGGAAACATTCGTATGTACTTTTTTGCTAATGTTAATAAACTTACATCTGAATTGTTCTACTTAAAAGTGATGAGGTAACTTACAAATATTAATAAAACATAGGACTGACTATAAACTAGAAATAGGTTTATATCATGTACATGGTAAGGCAAAGGAAAAACAAGATAAAATGCAGCTAGGAATGAGGCTAACATATAATTGAATGATAGAGTTTACCAAGGGTAAACAAACCAGAAGAGGGAAACCTGATCACTTTGGCAATCCATATTGCTTACATAAAATAAATGCAAACCAACTTGTAAAAAGCTGTACATACAATTTCAGCATTAGGGAGCCATTAGAACATGCTTTAATCATACAGTTCTTTTAGCATACAAGTAACTTTTAGAGCTAAGAACTTTTAGAGCTACGGTAATTCTTTATAAAAACTGTTTCGCTCAGTTGATACTCTGAATTAATACTGAAGTTTAGAGAATTCAAAAGTGTACTTTGAAGCCAGTTATATATATATAACCTGGTAGCCTCAAAAGGTTGACTCACCTCTTTGGACCTTCATCCTCCTCTAAATCCTGGTATATTCTTTACTATGTTGTTAGGTATATGAGGTCTTCAAAGACATTTCTGGGGACCAGTTTTCAAGTTATTCTCAGTAGATGTGATCCAAATTTATGTAAAATCTCCCATGAATGGAAGAAGTCTCCTTCTATATCATGTACTTCTAATATACTATACACAGCCCCTTTGACCTACTCTGATCTAACATATTTTTTGTTCCCTGATTCTTTCCAAAAATGGTTTGAAGAGGCTTATAAAAAATGATAAATATAACAAAGGGAAACCTAGGTTGGCAGGAGAAAAGGTAACTTTGATAAAAAAAAAAAAAAAAAAGACAACTTTGAGAAAATTTACATGGATACTGAACTAGACACACTGTTTAAAAAGGAAAAACTTCTTGCTATAAAGCTGGATGAAACTTCAAGGCATAACTGAATAACTGTTCAAATGGCAGAGTTTATTAATTCCAATTGTTATGGTAATTGTTATAACCCATAAGGCCTAAAATACCCTGGCCCTATAAAGAAAAAGTTTGCCTACCCCTGAATCTAGAAGATTGGCTGCAATCCTCAAATTCTGCCCTACTTGATCATTTCTTTCAATTAGGTTTTGATAGGAATAGGTATGAGCCATTTCACATTACTCGCTTTTGCTCAGTAAACTTTGGAAGCCAAATGATCAAGCAATGAAGTCAACTCATTATTTTTCATTGGATGAAAGTATCCTTCTAGAGAAGAGATGCTAAAATCAGATAATTTAAAACACAGTACTTGTTACTCAAGTAAAAATGACATATATTTAAGAAAAAAGGGTTAAAGTAACATATGAACTCTGATAGCTACTTTTGTTTTTACCCCAAATGGATAGTTCTTTTAAAATTCATGTTATGCGAAAGACTAAGGTGGTCCAAATTTGCCCTTAAGGCGGAGTTACCGTATATGGAAATGTATAATTCTTCAGGTACAAACCAGGATTTATTACAGAATACTTTCTACACAGCTCCCTAAAAATCTAAAAGTGTTCAAAATTTTGTTTAAAGCATCACAATATGCACTTTTCTACTAAAGTTCAAACCTACTGCTGAACAGTTAAATGTTTTTTATAAATCCACTGTGATCAGAGATTACATGCAGTACCCAAATAGTATCCATCTTTTTTAAAGTTAAATCACAACAGAAATCTAGGTAACCTATACAATGTGTTATTTTTGAATTTTGAAGAATGTTCATACCTTGAAATGCTCAGTCTTTGGAGATCACTGCTATTCAGATTGTCTTCCTGAGATGGATCCTGTCATTTGTTTAAAAATAAAGTTTTAAAGTTATAATTGTTAAGAAGTATAGATCTGTTTCCCAAACTAGTTCTTTATGATGTGGGAGTTTCACATATACAGGGGCCCATGGCTACAAAACATTGGGAAACACTGTTCAAGTTAAACAAATTCCTATGCTATAGAACTTCTCAAAACCTTTGGTATACAATAGCACATAATGAATAGCTAAATGAGTTCTTATTAGGTACTTTAGTCCTCTATACCAACTCCATTTTACATATCCAGTGTTTTCTAAACTTCTTTGGCTCTAGTGTCTTCACCTGGTCCCAAAGGATCAACTTTTCTAAATATAAATGACTGGAATATTGGGGGATATAGAAAAGTCTAAAAGGGCCATAGTGGAACTCACCCTGGAACCTTGACCTCATTAATACCAAACAGTAGTCAACTGAGTAAAAAACAAAAACAAAAACAAAAACCCCTCACCATTATGTCAACATAGGGATGCTATTTCACGCTTTTGATTTCAACTTGGAACCTCTGATAAATTTGCATTAAGCATTCCACTATTCCTATTCCTGCTTGATATCTTTACCTTAGTTGTGACCATTTTTTTTTTTTTTAGTTTTAAATCTCCCCTCCCCCTGCCAAATAAATTCTTATGAAGGTCAAGGACCAAGTCTTAAATTAGAAAAAAAAAAATCCTTTTAATTCATCTTAAAGTCATAAGTTTCTTAGTCCTTCAGATACCATTTCAGCAGTAAGCGAAAAGTAATTTCTAAAGTTTCTTCTACTTTTAAATGTTTCTATGATTTATGATGAATTAACTAAATTTATCCCCTAGCACCATCTAGTGGAAAAGAGTAACTAATAAGAATTGATCTATCTCATACACACACACACACACCCTTAAGAGTATTGCTTTTCTGGATTACCTTAAGTTTTTTTGAAATACATTCACTTATTAAATATACTATATACTAAGCACTATGCAAAACATGTTACATATTATCTAACCTTCATGAAAAAAACAGTATTTAAAAGTCTACAGAAAACAAGTTCAGAAGAATTAAATGATGTTCCTAATTTTGCATAATAATTAGCAACACCGTAATTATGAGCCACGTTTTTTTTTTTTTTAATTTTTTTTTCAACGTTTTTTATTTATTTTTGGGACAGAGAGAGACAGAGCATGAACGGGGGAGGGGCGGAGAGAGAGGGAGATACAGAATCGGAAACAGGCTCCAGGCTCTGAGCCATCAGCCCAGAGCCCGACGCGGGGCTCGAACTCCCGGACCGCGAGATCGTGACCTGGTTGAAGTCAGACGCTTAACCGACTGCGCCACCCAGGCGCCCCGAGCCACGTTTTTATAATGCCATGGTACTGTTTTCTACTCAGTAAGGAAATATCCGTTATGTAAAAAGCTATCAATTTCCTTTCAAGGCAAATCCATTTACTGACAATTATAATTCAGAGCTACAAAGTACAGATCCTTTCTTGCAAACATATCTTTTTAAAAGAAGCCTCTAAAAAAGATGGCAGAGTAGGAGGATCGTAAGCTCACCTTGTTCCACAGATACAAGCAGATAACATCCACATCAGTGTAAATAACCCACAAAATGACCTGAGGGATGACAGAACAGACTCTCCACAGCAAAAGGTAAAGAAGAGACCATACTGAAGAGGTAGGAAGAGCAGAGAGGCCATCTGGAGCTAAATGGACCCATGGGTCTATCTGAAGGAGGGAGGAACATTGCAGGCATGGAGAAAGAAAAAGACTCACTCTCACACTAGGCACCCCAGGCATGGGGAACACACACAGGGAAGACAAATCCCCAAAGAATCCCTGTAACATTTGGCTTTGAAAACCAGAGAGGCCTAATTTCCCAAGTTCTTACAATCAGTGGGGCTTAACACCTGGGACTTGACAAATCAATGAGCTCAGCTCTGGGAGGGAGGGGAGGGCAGAGGAAACAGAACCCCGCCCTTGAAGGGACAGCATAATGAACCCCGAGAAGACACAGTATTGAAGCAGCACTGTGAAAAATGCTTCAGGTATATGGGAGAGAGATTAGCTGACTCATGTTAGAGCATGTGCTAGAGTAGCAGGGATCGCTGGGAGACTTCTCAAAGAAGAAAGGAGCTGGTGGGTGCTTCTCTCCCTGGCCCCCCACCCTATTTACACAGACACGTGCAGGACCAGTGCAGCACCCTCTCCACCTGGCTGGCTAACAGCATGCCCCACGCTTCTGCAGTTCTGCCCTCTCCAACCCAACCAGCTTCCATAGTTTTGGGCAGCAGCAGGTACCCTCCCACAACCGACCAGCACAGACCTTGCTGGCACTAAATATACTGCCCCCCACACTCTCTTGGGGACTCACCCCCACCAGCCATAAAGCAGTTTTCAAAAGCAGCTCCAGCTCCCCTCCCACTGTAGACCTCTCCCGCTAAAACTGTGCTAACACCATATGCCGTGCCCCAACATTCTCCTATGGATCTGCTCCTTTCAATATTGCCCTTGGCCAGAACCCATCCAAAGTGGTAAAACCCTGGCACTGTGCAGGCAGCCCTGGGAGGGGCCAGCACCACTCCAAAAGTGACTCCTGTCCTGGGGAGACGGGAAAATAACCACACAGACACCAGACTGACTGCAGCTGGAGCAGTGAGTGGGGGGAAGACATCTGGTCTAACTACAGGGCCTACCCACCAACAAAAGCTTCTTAAGACACAATACAGGGAAAGTACCCTGAAGTTCAGTGCTACTGCATCTCTGGGAAAAGCCTGGTCTGCCTTGACCAAAGCCCAAGGTGGCCCTAGACTGGCCCACTAACAGAGGGACCAGACCCTTCCCACAAGAGGCAAAGAAGGCAACTGCAAATGACTGAAGGCAAAAGTGGCTTGGCCCAAACAGTAAGGAGCACACACAGGAGATGCGCCTGATCTGTGTTCTGGTGAACACGGGACATTGTACTTCTTGGCACCACAGGACCTCTTCTTTATAACACCACTATTTCAAGAGCTGGAGACATAGCTCACTTCCCTAAGACATAGAAACAAACAAAATTAAGAGACAGAGGATTATGCCCCAAAAGAAAGAAAAGGCCTAGATCATAGCAAGAGACCTAAACAAAACAGAGATTAATATGCATGGTAGAGTATTTACATAATGGTCATAAAGATACTCACTAGACTTGAGAAGAGTGGAAGACCTCAGTGAGACCCTTACAAAAGAGATAGAAACCATAAAAATATAAACCTTAAGAGATGAAGAACTCAGTAACTGAAATTAGAAATGTACTAGACGAAACAGTGCACCAGAAAATAAGAAAGGATGAGCGAACTGAAGGCCAGAGTAATGGAAAGCAATCAAGCTGAAGAGAAGAAAGATAAAATTATAATAATAAATGAAAACAGATTTAGGGAATTCAGTGATGCCATCAAGTGTAATAACATTTGAATCACAGGGATGCTACAAGAAGAGAATGAAAAGGGGACAGAGTTTATTTGAAGAAATAAATGTGGGAAGCTGAAAACTTCCTGCATCTGAGGGAAGAAACCAAAATCCAGATACAGGAGGCACATAAAGCCCCCAATAAAATCTAGCCAAGAGGTGCAAAGCAAGACACATTATAATGACAATGGCAAAAGGCAGTGATAGAGAATTTTAAATGCAGCAAAAGAAAACACATACATGGGAAACCCCATGTGGCTACCAGCTGATTTTTCACCAGAAAGTGTGCAGGCCAGAAGGGAGTAGCATGATACATTAAAAGTGCTGAAAGAAAAAACCCTGCAGCCAAGAATACGCTACAGAGCAAAGATATCATTCAGAATAGAAGAGATAAATGGTTTCCCAAACAAAGGTTAAAGGAATTCATCACCACTAAGCCAACCCTACAAGAAACGTTAAAGGGGACACTTTGGAAAGGAAAGACCATTAGGAGGAATAATAAAAGGAGCACAAAAACAGTAAAATTTATATCTATAAAACTCAGCCAAGGGATTCACAAAACAGAATGATGTAAAGTATGACACCATTTACCTAAAACATGAGGTGGAGAGAAATAAATACTGGATTGAAACCTAAGTGACCACTAACTTAATTCTGCATAAAATGTTATGTTACATGCAAACCTAATAGTACCACAAATCTCAAAACCCACTAATAGATATGCAAAATGTAAAGAGAAAGGAATCCAAGTATAGGACTACAGAAAGTCAGCAAACCAGGAGAGTGCAAGAGAAGAAAGTAACAGAGTAGAACTATAAAAACAACCGTAAACAAGTAATAAAATGGCAATAAGTACATACCTATCAATAATTACTTTGAATATAAATGGACTGAATGGTACAATCAAAAGACATTAGGTGATGGAATGGATAAAAAAGGAAAAGATCCATCTATATGCTGCCTACAAGAGACTCATTACAGAACTAAAGACAAATGCAGATTGAAAGTAAAGGGATGGAAAAGCATTTGTCATGCAAATGGTGGCAGGGAAAAAAAAAAGCCAGGTTGGCAATACTTTTATGGGATAAAATAGACTTTTAAACAAAGACATGGGGTGCCAGGGTGGCTCAGTCGGTTAAGCATCTCCCAGTTTCAGCTCAGGTCACTATCTCACTGTTTCATGGGTTCGAGCCCGTGTTGGGCTCTGCACTCATGGTGCAGAGCCTGCTTGGAATTTTCTCTCTTTCTCTCTCTCTCCTCCCCTCTCCTGTTCACACTGTCTGGATCTCTCTCAAAATAAATAGACATAAAAATTTTTTTAAAAAAAGAACAGGAAAAGAACACTATATAATCATAAATGGAACAATTACAGTAAGAATTGTAAATATTTATGCACTCAACATGGAAGCACCCAAATACATATAGCAAATAACAACAAACATAAAGGAAGTAATCAATAGTAATACAATAGTAGGGAACTTTAACATTCCACTTATATCAATGGATAGAACATCCAAACAGCAAATCAGCAAGGAAACAGTGGCTTTGAATGACACGATGGATCAGATGGATCTAGCCGATATATTCAGAACATTCCACCCTAAAACAGCAAAATACACAATTCCTGTCAAATACACATGGAACATTCTCCAGAATAGATCTCATATCAGGCAACAAAATAAGTGCAACAAATTCATAAAGACTGAAGACACAGCATGCATCTTTTCCAACCACAGTACTATGAAACTACAAATCAACCACAAGAGAAAATCTGCAAAAACCAAAATACATGGAGGTTAAATAACATGCTACTAAGCAATCAGTGGGTCAACTAAGAAATCAAAGCAGCAGCCAAAAATACATGAAGACAAATGGAAATGAAAATACAACAGCCCAAAATCTTTTGGATTCAGCAAAAGCTATTGTATTAATAAGGAAATTTATAGCAATACAGGTCTACCTGATAATGCAAGAAAAATCTCAAACAACCTAACCTGATACCTGAAAGAGTTGAAAAAGAGAACAAAACCCCAAACCAGTAGATGGAAGGAAATAATAAAGATTAGAGCAGAAACAAATTAATTAGAAACTAAAAACTAAAACCAACAGAGCAGATCAAGAAAACCAGGAGTTGGTACTTCGAAAAGACCAACAAAATTGACAAACCTTCAGCAAGATTCACCAAAAAAAACAAAAAACAAAAAAGACTCAAAATCAGACATAAAACAGGAGAAATAACTGACACCACAGAAACACACAGGATTGTAAGAGATTATGAAAAATAATATGCCAACAAACTAGAAAACCTAGAAAAAATGGGAGAAATTACTAGAAACATACAACCTCCCAAAATTGAAATCAGGAGAAAAAGAAAATTTGAACAGACCAATTACCAGCCATGAAATTGAATAATTAATCAAAAAGTTCCCAACAAACACAAGTCCAGGACCGGATGGCTTCAGAGGCGAATTCTATTATACATTTAAAGAAGAATTAATACCTATTTCTCTCAAACTAATCCAAAAAATAAAAGTAAGAAAGCTTCCAAATTCATTCTATGAGGCCAACATTACCCTGATACCAAAACCAGATAGACATTACACAAAAAAGGGAAGTACAGGCCAATAGTGCTGATGAACACAACTGCAAAAATCCTTAACAAAACACTAGCAAAAGGAATCCTACTATACATTAAAAAAATCATTCACCATGACCAACTAGATTTTATTCCTAGGATGCAAGTGTGGTTCAATATTCTCCAATCAACATGATACATCACATGAACATAAGAAGGAATAATCCAATTAAAAACGGGCAAAAGGTATTAACAGACATTTCTCCAAAGACATCCAGATGACCAACAGACATGAAAAGATACTCAACATCACTCATCATCTGGAAATGCAAATCAAAACCATAATAAGGTATCACCTCACACCTGTCAGAATGGCTAAAATAAAAAACAAACAAGTGTCGGCAAGGATGTGGAGAAAAAGGAACCCTCATATGTGCTGGTGGGATACAAACTGGTGTAGCCACTTTGAAAACACTATGGAGGTTCCTCAAAAAATTAAAAATAGAATTGCCGTATGATTCTGTAATTCCACTATTAGGTATTTACCCAAAGAATATGAAAACACTAATTGGAAGGGATATATGCACCCCTATGTCTATTGCAGCATTATTTACAATAACCAAGATATGGAAGCTGCCCCAGTGTACATCAATATATGGACAGAGGATGTGTGTATGTGTGTGTGTGTGTGTGTGTGTATGTGTGTGCGTGCATGCATAAAATGGACTATCACTCAGTCATAAAAGAGAATCTTGCCTTCTGCAACAACATAGATGGATCTAGAGAGTATGATGCAGAGCGAAATAACCCAGTCAGAGAAAGACAAATATCATATGATTTCACTCACGGTAGAATTTAAAAACCAATAAACAAAGAAAAAAAGAGACAAACCAAAAACAGACTCTTAACCATAGAGAACAAATAGACGATTATCAAAAGGGGTAGGGATGAGTTAAATATGTGAAGAGAATTAGGAGTACACTTATCATGATGAGTACTTAGTAAGGTATAGCATTGCTGAATCACTGTATTGTACACCTAAAACTAATATAACATTGTATCTTAACTATACTGAAATTAAAAATTTTTAAAACATAAAATTAAAAAACATATATAAATAAACAAGCAACCATAGCAGTCAGGCAGCCATCTAGCTAGCTTTTCAGGGGCTATGGCACCTAAGCTTGTAGGACAGGATGCTTGAGGCCTTTGAAGAAATTACGGTATGTAATCACAGGTTCAAAGGTATGGCAGTGGTTAACTTCAGATGTCAAGTAGGAAAAAAAGCATTTTGCTCAACAGGAACTGACATTAATTTCTGTGGTATTTCCCCTTTCTCAGGCCTGGGGGCTTGAAAGCAAGTTCTCATTGTCCAGTTCAGAGGAATTCATTTGGCCAAGGCCAAGGTGGAATGCTGTATTATTCTTAATGCCTGGCTCATCCTCAAGTGGTGGTCACATTCAATAAAGACTACATTACAGAAGAGAGAACTATCAGTTCCATTTAAGGACAGCTGGGATTCAGGGGAAGCATGCTGGCTGGCAGTCAGGAAGTATGGGAAGTAGTTCCCTTATCAGTTACTGGCATCCCAAGAGGAACCAGGGGTAGGTGACACAGCTCCTCAATGGAGTTAGAATGCTCTGATGGGCAAAATGGTTAAGATGAGAAATAATTATCTAACTGGTTAACTTATTTAAAATACATAAATGTATATAATGGTTGGTTGACTCTAGACTACTAACCTTTACAATTTCTGTAACAATAATTTTGTTAAGATTTTTTTCCCAAATTTTTATTTAAATTGTTAACACACAGTGCAATATTGGTTTCAGAAGCAGAATTTAGTAATTCACCACTTACATACAACACTCAGTGCCCTTCATTAAAAGTGCCCTCCTTAATAACTATAATCCATCTAGCTGACCTGTCACCCTCCATCAACCCTCAACCTGTCCTCTATACTTAAAAGTCTCTTATGGTTTGTTTCCCTCTCTTCCCCACCCCACCGCCACGTTCATCTTTTATTTCTTAAATTCCATACAAGTGAAATCATATGATACTGTATTTGTCTTTCTCTGACTTGGCTTAGCATAATACACTCTATCTCCATTCATGTCATTGCAAATGGCAAGATTTCATTATTTTTGATGGCTGAGTAATATTCCATTGTGTATATATACCACCTCTTCTTTATCATTCATCAGTTGATGGACATTTGGGCTCTTTCCATAGTTTGGCTATTATTTGTAACAACTATTTTGCATATGGTGCATGTGCTCTCACACTCTTATTATTTCTTCTTTTTCTATTCAGTACTATCTGTCATGACATCTAACCTTGTAATCAAGTTTGTTAGAACCGAATGTAAAGTTCTGGTAAACAGATTAGGTGAGGACCTGAGAGGCAACTTGTGTTTTAGTGGATGACTTGAGGCTAACTGTACTTTAGCAGCTCAGCGGGGCTTTTCGTTTTTGCTTTTTCCCAATTCTTAGAACCTCAGCTATTTGCTAAAAATTAAAGTTGTCCCAAAAGTATTAAACTTCTAAAAATTAGTAGACAAGTTTTTCCTTCTTAAAAAAGAATCCTAAAAATTAAGTTGTATCTTGTAGTGTCTACATTAATCAAATTATTAAACAAAACGATAAACTTAAAACTTGAGTTCTCTTTAAGCTTTACAGAAAAAAATGACTTAAGGAAACTGAAGGAAAGGAGTTTAAAAGAATAGCTTTAATAAATTAATAAACTAAGGTTTTTTTAAGTGAGCTTTTTAAAACAAAATTATAAATTCTGGGATTATGCTAGAAGTATACAGTATATCAAATTTTACACAAAATGGCTGAAATGGAAGATAAAGGTGAATTTTTCAGAGACTTTAACTCTCTAAGTAGCAACAATATAAGTTAACTCTACAATTTAATCCTTAGTTACAAATCCTACAAATAGTACTGAATAGTACACAGTACTGAATACTGAACTTCTCAATTTAATAATTCTGTAGTACCATTTGTTTGGCTTTCTGTAGCTGTATTTTGAGATCACTACATTCTTTCCTCATCAGTTCCAGCTCTTGTTCCAAACCATGGATCTTCAGGTCACAGCTCAACTTTTCCACCTCCCAGTTTGATGAAGGTGGATTTAAATTCCTTATCACTAAAAAAAGGATAGACGTTAAAATTGTTATTTCTGCCTTCGACATTTGTTGCAATTCCATAGTAAAATGTACATAATACAAAAACTAATATAAAACATGCACAAGTAAGTTTTTAAAAAACAATAATTACGTTCAAAGATCTATGCTAATGAGAATATAAAACCTGCCAATCTTGTTTTAAAATGTATTAATCATCCCTGTCCCTGATTTTCTATTTACATTAAAGTACAAGTTTGTAAGTCTGGAACTTTAAAATATATGACACTAATCAAATTGTAGACAAGTCAATAATCTACCTATGTAAGTCAAGGTTAAGACAGTGATAAAAGTAAATGAAGTGAGGAAACTGAAGCTCACATAGCTAATCACTCCATCTAGTCCCCCTAGAGAGTTTGACCATAAGGCCTAGAACATGATGTCAAAATGATTTACTGATGAACATTCCACTGCAGAAACTCAATACAACTGTATACTGACTTACTCTTGACTAAATGCTTTAGACTCCCTACCTAGAAAAATCCCCAACCAGCTATTATAAGAGAACTCATCTCAATCTCCTATCAAAAGGTCTCCCTCAGAGGCCTACTCTTCAGTTTGGCTCATCAGAATGTTTATGGGAACAGGCCAATACCCATATTGTTCCATAACTAATTTTTCACTCCAGCATTGCATCTGCACATTTTAACAGCCTTCAGAAATTAAAAAAAAAAGAAAAAAAAAAAAAAAAAAAAAAAAAAAAAAAAAAAAAAGGAATTGTAACTACTCCATGACAGGCGTCTAATAGCAGGCAAAAGTTCATTAGAAAGGAAAAGCCAGGACATACCAGCAGGCAAGACGTTTTGACAAGGATGGGGTTCTACTCCTTTCTTCATCTACTTCATCACAAACTAGCCCTGAATAAAAACCATCAAATTTTCTCTAGGAAAAGTGCAATTTATATCTAAGGAAAAGTTAAAAGGGGTTGATATTTTGTGAAAGCAGATCAGAGAAATTAACGTAAGCCTAAAATTATAAAATAAGTTAAGGCCTTAGCATACAGATAAAGAAAACTGGTAATGGATATAACACATAAATGGAAAACTGTACTGATTCCATTATAACATTTGTAACAAATAAGTGGCATACCCTGCTGAGTTTCCACCTCTGTCCTTAGCTGGAGAAGTTCTACTTCTTTAGATTGTAGCTGTTCATTCAATACTTTCAAAGATTCAGAGTTGTCTTTATTCTAGTTAAGTAGGGAAAATGCCAAATTACATTTGGTATAATCTGTAGCTTGATATATATTAATTTTCAGGTAGATGAAAAAAACCGATTCAGGCCTTTTAAAAAGTGAGGTGGGAAAATGAACCCAGTTTTTCGCTAATCTCTCTGTCTTTCAAACAGGATATTATTCACTGGCTTTTTTTCTTTTTTCATTTTTAAAACATTGACAAATCCTACTATGTCATGATTTTTAAAAATAAGTTAGTGGCGTTAGACATATTTAAGTCCTAAACATCATTACATACAAAGTATTTATTTTGCACAGAAATAAGTTACAAATATTACTATTAAAAATTGCTATTTTTGCCCTGAGCATGTATATTTTCAATTTTTAATTTAATAAATATAAATATTTATTTCTAATTTTAAGCTTCCTGAAGAAGAAACTCATTCCCAATATATAGATATTCTTTTTAAACCAACTTACCATTTTATCCAATTTGCTTTTCAAATTATCTCTATCAATGCAAACCTCTCGATATGCATGATAGGCCTTATTTACTTGTTCACGTCCCACAGAACTTGTTTCTTCATCTAATCGAGCTCCTATAAGCTAAGAGAATGAAATTAGAAGAGAAAGCTTAAGAAGGAATTCTATACACACACACACACACACAGAAGCCAGTCTTCTGATGACTCTACACCTTACTTTTTTTGTAATGCAGGGATAAAGCCTGGACTATAATTAAATAAAACATTTCACTTCCAACAATTAAGCTTTATTGATTAAGAAAGAAAAAAAATACAGGTAAGTATTTTTAAAGTGCTCTACTTTATGCTTTTAATCAGTGTTTTCTGTCTTATAGCATATATTAATTCATCATACTAAAATACTACATCATTCTTTTATAGTACAGAGATGTTTTCCAAGCCAGTAGTATTTCATTTCCATCATCAGAAAAAGTGAGAAATGAAGGTATACTTGGCTTTTTAGAGAATAAACGTGTTAGTTCATTTAGTAGATTATTCCAGAATAGAAATTAATAGGATTATTGGTCACAAAGTACAGAACTATCTCCAATGTTAACTATACCAAATCACATTTTTCTACTTAATTTAAAAATAAACATAACTATGAACTCCAAAATGTTACCTTTTCTCACTCTATCCCAGTATATCACAAATTTATTTGATTATCATTAAAGAAAATGCATAGGAATTCAAAGAAATCATGATTTTTACAACTGACTTCCTTTCTTGTACTTCCCCTAGATGAATCAAACTCTACCAAGCCCCGTCCTACAGTTTTTGTAACAAGATAATTCATTTCCTTGGCAGCTAAGAATCCATTTCCTTTCCCTTTGGCGAAGCTGCTGTTCATAAAATACAAATAAAATTATCTAATCCAAAGAAACATTAAGTTAAAACTTTAAAACTCAAAAACAAAAATATAAGTGTTCCACTTATATGGAACTTATAGTGGAACTTTGAAGAGTTCCACTATCCAAAGCCAAGTAGATGTGATGATTTATAATGGGATCAGCTATCAAGCTTAAATATTCTATAACATTTAGGAGTGTCAGGTTTCTGCATGAAAAAGGTAAACAGATGACATTAATTTATCAGTTGAAAGCATTATTCTGTGTGTTGAAAAACAAAAGAGAATGTTCAGGTAAAGAAGATGTATGTCAATTCTAGTGAAGACATTTTTAAACATATTAGAATAATGTTACAGGAGCTTCCTCCTTTGACACTTAATTTCCTTTGTTGGCATATAATTTTTTGCACACATATTAACATGCTGAATAAAACACAGTTTATGAAGGTACGGCAATCTGAAAAAAGAAAAATCTATTCCAAGTTGTTATTGGAAGTTGTTATTGCTATTCCAAGTTGAATATTCTACAAATATTCATCATGTACATTATATGTAAAGTATGATAAGTGCAGTATGCCCAGGGTTTTAAGATTAGAAGTGAGTTATTCTTGGAAATTTAGTAAACCATGGAAGACAGGATAGAAAACTATTTAAAACGTCAAGTATTTTAAATTATGCTTTAAGTCATAAAATATAATAAAGATAATAATTACCTTTTCTTCCAAAAATCTTATTCTTTTCTTTAAGAAAGAGTTCTCTTTCTCTGAATCCTTAAGTCGTTTTTTGATGTCTTCATATGCAGTGACAAGGGCAAAATGTGAAGCAACAGACTCATCTCCTGAATATATTGAGATTGGAGTCACCGTATCTCTCCTATGTGCTTTTTCATGATTCAGAATGCAGATATCATCTTCTACCAGTGCATCCATGACAGCTTTTTAAAAGAATATAAAATACAAATGTCCCATTGAATAAATGAGCAAGAGAGATGTATTTAGAATGAGCATACTGGGGCAATGTTTAAAAACTCTTTTCTTTTAGAGGCAGCATAAAATACTGGTAAAGGGCATGGACTCTGAAACCAGATTCTAGGAGCTGCATCCAAGTACTACTACTTAGAGCCAGTGTGGCTTTGGGCAAGATGCTTAATCTCTCTGCCTCAGTTTCCTTATTTATAAAGTATAAAAAATCATAGCGACTATTTCACAGAATTCATAAGAATATTAAATGAGTTGATATCTATAAAGCATTTGAAACCAACCGAAGCTATTAAAATAGTTTTAGAAAAAGTTGTGAAACCATTTTTATGGAAAGGATAAACATTTTTAAATACTTAATACCCATTATTTTGTTCTTATCAGCACTTCCACTTACATATATAAATAGCAAGTTTTATAGCTTCCCAAACTATAAATTATCAAAAACTCCAAGTACAATTCATTACAAGACTATTACAGAAGTTTTAAGGCATGCTCCACTACATTCTTCCCATACCAGTAGTTGTTTGTTGTGCAACTGCAATAGTACCCATTAAAAAAACTTTTTAAAATGTTTTTTTTTTTTTTTATTTTTGAGAGAGAGAGCATGTGAGGGAGAGGCAGAGAGACAGGGAGACACAGAATCTGAACCAGGCTCCAGGCTCTGAGCTGTCAGCAGAGAGCCCATGCCGGGGCCCGAACACATGAACTGCGAGATCATAACCTGAGCCAAAGTTAGATGCTTAACTGACTGAGCCCCCCAGGGGCCCCGGAATTAACATTTCAGTACTTACCATGTCCCAGTACCTTGTACTACATTCTCTTAATACTATCTCATTTAAACCCATCCAAATAATTCTATGAGGTAGGTATCATCTACATTTTATAGGATCACAAAGGTTAAGTACTCAGTCCAAGTAAAAGCTAGTAGATGTTAGTTAGCTCTGTGAGGGTGCAAGTTATGTTTGTTTTGTTCATCATTGTGTCCCCAACTCTAACACCTAAGAGAAGCAGCCAGTTACTCCATTAGTTAGGGAACTTACTTGCTCTGTACATCTACTTTTGCTGTTAGGTTCATCATTACTTCCCCATCTGAGAGTTATGTTCCTGAAAGACACTGTGGAAGGAGAAATTGTGGCTGAAACCTTTTAAGACCTTATGGGAAAAACAGGGTAAGAGGGGCTGCATATCATAAGAGAACCTAAAAAATCCTTTTAAACATTTTTAAGTTTGAAATAAAACACCAAATACAGCATTCTAAATAAAGACTATAATGGAATTTCATGTATCTTACATAATTAAGGACTACTGAAAAAAATTTTATTTACTATTCCTTGCTTGGAATAATATTTTATTGCTTACTGTGTCAGTCACTGTTCCAAGAATATTATAGGTGAGGAATTGAAGTAGAAGGAATTTAAGTAATTTTCCCAAGTTAACATAGTAAATAATGAATTGAGATGTAAACATAGGTGATTAAACCACAGAATCCATGTTTTACTATGCCTGCTTTTCTCCAAAACTTCTAGCCTCCCTCCCTGTATCAATCAATGCCTATAAAGTCCATTTTGCTGTATTTCAGACAACATGAGTATTAAGGAAAAGTGTGTGTTTTTCTGGTTCTGGTCTTCTATCACTGTATTTCTGCTTTACTGGTTTTACAATGAAAAGCTTCCAATTGTTCTCAACTAATGTTAGAGTTTGGTATGCCTAGCAATTTTTTTATATCTAGGATTATAGGAGAGGTAGGCAAAAATGAATGTGTGTACTACAATCTGAGTAGGTGAAAGCTATCAGACAATTTTCACCAATACCAACTTAAAAATTTCTAAGCAGGGCCCCTGGGTGGCTCAGCCAGTTAAGCATCCAACTTCAGCTCAGGTCATGATCTCACAGTTCATGAGTTCGAGCCCCACGTTGGGCTCTGTGCTGACACCCATAAGCCTCAAGTCTGCTTTGGATTCTGTGTCTTCCTTTCTCTCTGCCCCTCCCCCTGATCACGCTCTGTCTCTCTTCCTCTCAAAAATAATAAACATTAAAAATATTTAAAATTTTTTTCTAACCATATAGGACAACTCCTACTCTTAAGTTAGAATCTTTCCCAGCCTGTCAATAGAGTCCAAAAATAAGAAAGGATTATGCTACCTACATATCCCAAAAAGGTGCCAGGTCCTTAGAACCATACTTAATTTCTGCTGCTTCTGGTGGAAGATATACTTTCTTCTCGTAATGAAGAAAAAGTTTTCTTCCTTTAATGGGGTTTACTTTTTCCTCTCTGAATTCAACCCTTTTCCAAAATAACAGCAAACATCATACCAGTCATGCTGCTGATAGCTGAAATGTTGGTATTTCCTCTCCAAAAGGAAAGTATGGGTTATTCCCACATTGCAAACTGCAAGTATGCATATGTATATCCACATGAGATTCTTTCTCCTACATGTTATATCTGAAAAGCTTGCTAAGCAGAACAAGAATAGTTCGCTAGTTAAGTGGCAGCAGGCAGTATAGTTTAAGGAGAGATAAAATTGTGCCCATCTTAGACATAATTTCTCATATCTTAATATCCAAATGAGGAGTTATTCAACTGGGATAATTTTTCTCCAAAGGAAGTTGAAAAACAAGAAGTAAGCATAAACTGCTCTACACAATCAACACAGATGTCCTACAGACTGTGCACTTTAAGGATCAGAGCATATATGCTTTTACTTTACACAAAGTTCTAGCTAGCTCAGCTGTGTGATTTCCTATTCATTTTTATCACGAAACAATCATTTATTCAGCAAGGAAAACCCAGTGTGGAAAACAGCTGTGCAGTAAAATAATTACCACACCATAAAGATAAGTAATATATTTGAAACAAGAGAGAATGCTATGGAAATTGAGGGTTGGGAAGGAAGAGTGGTTTTGAAAGAAGTATCACACACACAAAAAATGACTCTTAGTCCCATACTCTTAAGTGAAGAGGATGGTTATTTTCATTGTACTTAAAACTTCTAGGAAGGAGAAACAAGTGCAAAGACCTGAAAGTGTGGGGAGAAGGTATGAAAAGATAAACAGCAAAATGTGAAATAAAAAAACCTAACAGAAACAAACTCTCTTTATAACAGAGACTACAGAATTTGGTCCTTATTCTATGGAATTCAAGAACGGATAGGATTCAAGAATGTGAAGAATACTTACACAATATTTATAAAATGTATCTGTAACCAAATGAACTACTCAGTATTGTGCTAAGTATTTTAAAAACATTATCCCATTTAATTCTCATGACTACACTCTGAGGTAGAAAATCTTACTGTATTCATTTCACCGATGAGAAAACTGGGGCCTGGGAAGGTTACAAAGCTTAACCAAGATCAGATGACATACAGTACAAGCACTTGGATTTCAGAGCCTGAACTATCAGTATTTTCCACCCAATGAATTTTCCACATACTCAGATTTGTTAAGAACTACAAAACTAGGAATCTTATGGAACGACTTTTAAGTATCTTAGATGGAAGGAGATATAATGATATAACAATGTCACATGTATAATATGGTAAGTGGTCCTTTTTAGGACAAAATCAGTAATGCGATTGGCTTATTTTATATATTTAAATCTTATTTCCTATTTTGGTTTTAAATCACCAAAAAGGTGCATTTGGTGTCCTCTCCAAATATGAGAAAGTATTATTAGCATTTATATGCTTCTTGCAGGTTTCATACTATTATTCCAAATATTTACTTATTGTACTATAAACATGACTTGGAAAGCACTGGAAAGCAGCATGAAAATTGCTTATCTAATTGTCCTAAAAATTATATGAGAAATAGCCATAGATTAAAACACACCCAAGGGGTGCCTGGCCAGTTCAGTTGGTAGAGCATGCAACTCTTGACCTTGGGGTTGTAAGCTTGAGCCCCATGTTGAGTGTTGAGATTACTTAAAAACTGGGGTTAAGCATCTGATTCTTGATTTCAGCTCAGGTCATGATCTCACGGTTCATGGGATCCAGCCCTGCATGGGGCTCTGTGCTGACAGCATGTACCCGGGTTGGGATTCTCTCTCTTCTTTCTCTTTCTAAATAAATAAGTAAACTTAAAAAAAAAGAATACAACAACTGAAATAAAAAATACACTAGAGGGAATCAACAGATTAGAAGATGCAAAAGAATGAATCAGCAAACTGGAAGACAAAATAATAGAAAGGACCTAAACTGAATAGCAATAAAAAAGGAGGACGAGGAGGAGGAAGAAGAAAAGGAAGAGGAAGAATTTTACAAAATGAGGGTAGGCTAAGGGATCTCTTGGACAATATCAAGCAAACATACATTCACATTTCAGAGGTCCCAGAAAGAAAGGAGAGAAAGGGGCAGAAAACTTATTTGACAAAAATAATAGCTGAAAACTTCCCTAACCTGGGGAAGGAAACAGACATCCAGGTACAGAAAGCAACCAGAGTCCCAAACAAGATGGACCAAAGGAGGTCCACAACATGACATACATTAAAATATCATCAAAGATCAAAGATAAAGAATTTTAAAAGCAGCAACTTTGCAGGCCAGAAGGGACTGGCATGATATATACAAAGTGCTGAAACGTAAATAACCTACATCCAGGAATATTCTACCCAACAACATTATCATTCAGAATTGAAGGAGAGATAATAGTTTTCCAGACAAGCAAAAGTTAAAGGAGTTCACCACCACTAAACTGGTATTATAATAAACGTTGAAGGGACTTTAAGTGGAAAAGAAATGACCATAATTAGAAAAGGAAAAAATTTCAAGAGTAAAAATAGAAGCAAACATACAGTAAAGTTAGTACAGCAATCATTTATAAAGCTAGTATGAACGTTAAAAAACACAAGTAGTAAAATCTATTATGTCCTAAAAAAATTACTTAAGAGTAGTAACAAAATAAAAAAGATGTAAAATATGGCAACGTATACATAAAATGTGGGAGTAAAAATGAGGTTCTCTCAAAATGTGTTTGAACTTAAGTGACCATCAACTTACTACAGACTGTTACACTTAGGATGTCAAATATGAAACTCATGGTAGCCACAAACCAAAAACCTTTAAAGATACACAAAAAAAGAGAAAGAAAGCCAAGCATAACACTAAAGAAAGTTCTCAATCACAGGGAAAGAGATCAAGAAAGGAACTGAGAAAAACTACAAAATAACCAGAAGACAATTAACAAAAAATGGCGCTAAGCACATACCTAGCAACAATTTTTTTTTTTTAATGTTTATTTGGAGAGAGAGACAGAGACAGCGAACAAAAGAGCGCATGCATGCACAAGAGGGGCAGAGAGAAAGAGGGAGAGAGAAAATCTCAAGCAGGCTCCATGCTCAGGGCAGGGCCCAACGAGGGGTTCAAGATCATGACCTGAGCAGAAATCAAGAGTCAGAAGAAGCGCAACTAACTGAGCCACCCAGGTACCCCTATCAAGGATTACTTTAAATGTGAGTGGTCTAAATGTTCCAATCTAACGACATAGGGTGAAGAATAGATTAAAAAAACAAGACCTACCTATATGCTGCCTATAAGAGACTCACTTCAGATTGAAGTGAAAGACTGAAAAACGATATTCCATGCAAACTAAAGCAAAAAAATCGGGTATGTCAGAGCAGCTTGGGTGTGGGAGGAGTGGCTGCAACCAGGCAGCCCGACTTTGTAAAGGCTCTCAGCACTCTGTGACCTGCAGGCACCCAGCATGTACCTACCCTACTGCCACAATGCCCAAGAGGAAGGTCAGCTCCACTGAGGGGGTGGCAAAGGAGTAGCCCAAGAGGAAACTGGTGAGGCTGTCAGCCAAACCTGCACCCACAAAAGTGGAAAAGAAGCCAAAAAAGGAGGAAGAAAAGGATAAATCTTCAGACAAAAAAAAAGTAAAGGGGAAAAGGAAAGCAAAGGGAAAACAGGCTAAAGTAGCTAACCAAGAAACAAAAGGAAACTTACCTACAGAAAATGGAAAAACTGAAAATGAGGGGAGTCTAGCCTCTGATGAAGCAGGAGAGAAAGAAGCCAAGTCTGATTAATATCATATACCATGTCTTATTAGTAGTG